GACAATCCCCCTGTAGGGGGACAGGCCCGACTTAATTCTGGCGCTGCCGAGGCTCGAGGCTCGAGGCTCCCCAGAGGTCCAGCGTGTTGACAAAAAATCAGGGCGGAGGTTTTTCGCCAATCTCGGCCCCCGGGGGCCCTCGCCGGGTGCGACGAGGCGCCCCTCGGGGCGGGCCCTCGGCCGCGGCCGCGGCCATGCGTTCTTCTGGCGTTCTGTCGGGCGTGTCCCCCTACAGAGGGATTTTCGACGGAAAAAAATATATCCCCCCAAATACCGCAAAGAGATCAACAAGTATTCCAAAAACAGTCCCCAGACTATTTGAAGAATATTGTTTGATTACTTTTGGTGTATTTTGTTTTTTCGTCGACAACCCCCCTGTAGGGGGGCAGGCCCGACTTAATTCTGGCGCTGCCGAGGCTCGAGGCTCGAGCCTCCCCAGAGGTCCAGCGTGTTGACAAAAAATCAGGGCGGAGGTTTTTCGCCAATCTCGGCCCCCGGGGGCCCTCGCTGGGCCTCGGGACCGTCGAAACACGACTCAGGATGAAAAACCGGTCCTAGGGAATGGGTCGAGACTTGCGGGGACCCCGTACTGAACAAATCAGGACATCGGATCTCTGGGCTCGAGGCTCGAGGTCGAGATTTTTGGCTCGAGGTCGAGGCTCGAGGCTGGGCGTGTTGCCGAGGCTCGAGGCCGAGGCGTTCTCGGCTCGAGGCTCGATCTCGGTGCTCGGTTCCTGGGCGCCTTCTTCGGCGGCGCCCAGCGGTTTTTTTCTGTCTTCGGGCTGCGTTCCAGCAGCTGCACCTCGCCGAGGGCGTTAACTGGGGGTGCCCGGACCGTCCCAGGCGGCCGCTGGAGAGACGAATTCTATGGTCCGAGAGCCGCAGAGGGCTGGCCGACCCCCAGATCCGGTCGTTGCACTCTGTCCACGCCCGGCGATTTCCCCCGGTCTCGGACCCCAGGACCATCACGGATCGATCCAGCTTTAAAAGTGCTGTGTTTGATGACCTTCGGTCCCTCCCGCCACTGTGCCTGGGTCGTGGGTCATGTAGGCCTCTTCTGTAGCAAATCATGGGAGCCTTGTATGCCCTCTTAATTCCGTCTTTAGCGTCGATGAGCGTCGATTAGCGTCTGGGAGTCGATGCTATAGCGCTGATTTAGCGTCGGTTAGCGCCGATCAGCGTCGAGTTAGCGTCGGCTTAGCGTCGATTTAGCGTCGACTTAGCGTCGATTGGAGTCGATTCACAAGAGCCGACAAGATGGTATGCGAGGCTCCTATGAGTTGCCTCCGAGGGCCTCTAGGATGTTCGCTGGGAAGTCGCGGGAGGCCTTTCGGGGGCCTCTTGAGGGCCGTTTGGATGCTTCTTGGGGGGGGGGGCTGTTTCGGGGCCTCTTTGAGGGGGCGTCTTCGGGGCCTCGTGGGTCTCTTGGGGCCTCCTGGGGCCTCCTTGGGCCTCCTCGGGGCCTCCTGGGGGCCTTTTGGGGCGCACGGCTCGGATTTTCGGTCCGTGCTCCCAGGTTGGCCTCCTCCAGGTGGGCCTTGGCCGAGGCGCACTCGTCGGCCGCCAGGTCGCGCTCCTGCTCCAGCGCCTCCAGCTGGGCCCTCGTCGACGTGACGCGCGCCTCCTTCGCCTGCAGCGCCTGCCAGCGCCCGCCCGCCTGGGCCCTGGCCGCCTTGAGCTTCGCGAAGGTGTCCGCCGCCTTGGCCTTCGCCGCCGTCTCCCCATCGCGCGGGGCCGCGTACCTCCGCAGGGCCGCCCGTGCCGCCTCCTGGCGCCCCGCCTGCATCGCCTCCCTGATCTCCTTGGACGTCGGACCTGGCGCACCGCCGAGCTCGTGCCCCTTCGCGCCGTCCTCAGCCCCATGCCCCTCCCGCACCTCTGCGGCCCGCGCTGGAGCCACGCGAGCGCTTGCCCCAGGGGCCAAGCGCAGGCCTGCCGACGAAGGTGCCGCAGGAGCACCATCCTTTACTCTTCCGTAGGAGGTCATCCCACGTCCAGTCGCCGCAGCCTCCGCACACCGAGTAGATGCCCCTGCCCATGAAGGCGGGCACCTGCGGCGCCTGCGAGCCGTGGTGCCGCTCCAGCAGCACGGCCGCCCCCTCGAGGCGCCGCCGCTGCCGCACTGACGGCGCGCCTTGCCAGGCCAACAGCAGGGTCCGCGTCGCTGCCCGCTGGCACCGCTGGCGCCGATGCCACGCCGCCTCCGATGGCAGCTTGTCTGCCCCCAGGCGCTGGGCCAAAACTTGAGCCAAAATGGCTACGGACGGTGACGACGACGACGCCGACGGCGGCGACGATGATGACGACGACGACGGCGGCGGCGGCGACGGCGACGACGACGACGACGACGACGACGACGATGAGTCAAACAGAACAGCGTCTTCCACACGCCGACAGGGTCGACGCACTTATCGAGGATCTGAGAAGGGCGGGGAACTTTACTCGAGCGGGCGCGCGCGAAACGCATGCTGTAAACGCAATATTGGAATCTGCGTCGTTTGTTCGAGCGGAAATTTGCTGGCCCTGCGCAAGTCTGGCACCGGGGACAGTGGAGCACAACTAAAAGAGAACACCTGGCCCACGCCCTTTCTGGGAGAACAAATGATTTGGGCCTGGAGGCTCCTGGGGGGCGTCAACATGCGAGTGAATTGCCCTTCCATGTTGATGGGAACGGCGACTCGGACATCCCCCACGCACTTCCTGAATTTTGGGCGCTCAGCTGGCTCCCGTGACGGCTCCTTGGAGCCTCAATTTGGGCCACCCTTCACGCATGTCGTGCCCCATGGACCCCCAAAGGCCCTTAGCTGGCGTCGAAGCCCGCCTAATCCCCCAAGGGGCGCAAAGCCTCCAGAGATATTGCAACGATTGGTGTGGATCCTCGTCGAGGCAGTATCCCTAAAACGCCCACTAATTGCAAAATCTGCGTGCAAGCTTCCCCTGGAGGCCCGCGGTGACTCGCTCTGCGGGCTCAATCATAAGAATCCCATGTGGTAGGTCGCGTCATGTCGACCAGCGGCGACCCCGCCGCTGGCGTTCAAGGTTGGACGCCGCCGGCGACCCAGAATCGGTCGATGCTGAACGATCTGACGTTTCGGAAGCGGCACATCGTTCAAGGTTGAACGATCCCCGTGGTGGAAGGAACCAGCACCGGGGACGACACGACACGAACCCGCGGTGCTTGCCCAGGGAAAACACGTCGTTTCCCGCCCCCCCCCTTCCCTCTGGTTTTTTCAAGGGCGCCCTCGAGGGCGCGAAGTTATTCTTGCTTCGCGCTTCGCGGTTGGGCTCCGATTCCTCCTCATCCTCCTCTTCTCCCCTGGGAGGCGGCGCGAGAGCGCGAAGCTCTTCGCGCTCTCGCGCTTCGCGCAGCGCGACGCGCGAAGTTGGGAGCCCTTTTTTTTCCGCGACGCCACGATCTCGGGATGCGGCCGCAGCTCCCCGCGGGCCTGCCGGCGTCCCGGCCCGTCGGCGGCCTCCCTCCGCGGGGGCCCCGCGCACCCCGTGCGAGGCGCAGTTCCTCGAGTTCCTCCCCGCGCGCGCGCTGCAGGCGCGCGGGGGGGGGGGGTCGCCTCCCGAGGGGGTCGTCGAGGATCGGGGGCCCTGCTCGAGGGTCGAGGATCGAGGGTCGAGGACGGAGGGGCCGAGCATCGAGCCTCGAGCGGCGAGGGTCGAGGGTCGAGGATGGAGAGGCTCGAGGGTCGAGGGTCGAGTGTCGTGGGTCGAGGGTCGAGGATGGAGGGCCGAGGGTCGAGGATGGAGCCTCGGGCGGCGAGGATCGAGGGCCCGCGGCCCCGCCCGAGGGAGCCGAGGAGCGAGTGCCGAGGGCGCCGAGGGCCGAGGGGGCCAGGAGGAGGAAAAGCACACAGAGGCGATTCGTCGCCGACTGCCAGGAAGAACACACAGACACAATCCTCCTCCTCCTCCTCCTCCTCTCCTCCTCTCCTCCTCCTCTTCTCCTTTCCTCCCTCCCTCCTCCTCCTCCTCCTCCTCCTCCTCCTCCTCCTCCTCGCCGACTGCCAGGAGAAAATAGGGGGAAATGTGGGAACTGGGCGGGAAGACAGAAACCCAGAAGATATGGGGAAATATGGGGAACCTTTTTTTTATGTGTGTGTGTCTTTATTTGTGTGTCCCGGGGCCCCTTCAGAGGGCCGAGGCTCGAGCGTCGAGGGTGGGGAGCAGCGGGGGCCGAGGAGCGAGCGCCCCCCGCCCGCTTGCCGCGCGTCGGGCAGGAGAGGGCCCACGGAGTCCCCTGTATTTGAGTCGGGCCTCAAAACGAAAAATAAAACGTAATGGACGAAAAAGGGGTAGTTTCGACGAAAAACATAAAAGTCGGGTCTCAAAACGAAAAATAAAACATAATTGACGAAAAAAATAAAAGAAAAAAACAACAAAAAATGATCCACGGGTAGTTTCGACGAAAAATAAAACATGCCCCAAAAATAGTCAAAAAGCAGTCTAAACATAGTCCAGGGACTATTTGTTGAGTATTTTTTTGGCCTTTTCGGAGTATTTTTGGGGTATTTTTAATTTTTCGTCGAAAATCCCTCTGTAGGGGGACACGCCCGACATAACCCTATATCTGCCGAGGGCCGCGGCGGCCGAGGGCGCGCGGCCCGCGAGAGCCCCGCGGAGGGGGCCAGGAGGGCGCTCGAGAGCGGCGGCTCGGCGAGGCGCTCCGAGCGCTCCGGGGGCTCCAAGGTCCCTCGGGGGTGGACGGACCTCCTACCCCGACGCGTCGATTCAGGAACTGGCCGTCTTCGGTTCGCGAGGGGGCGTCGCGGCCGTCATTTTCGCGGGCCCAGGTCCGTCGGTTTCGGTCCCAGGCCGTCTTCACGAAGGGGAGGTCTACTGAAGGGAGGTTTGTCCACCGCCGAATCCCCCGACGTGCCGCACGGGCTGCAGACACGAGGGCGCCGCCGGCTGCTCCAGAGCCCCTGGAGCGCGTTCCTCCTCCGCCTCCTCCTCCTGCTCCTCCGCCTCCTCCTCCTCCTCCTCCTCCTCCTCCTCCTCCTTCTCCCGAGACCTCCAGGAACTCCAAGATCCCCCGACGTTCCGCACGAGCTGCAGACACGAGGGCGCCGCCCGCTGCTCCGGAGCCCCTGGAGCGCGTCCTGAGCCAATCGCACCACGTCGCCCTTTGGCCAAGAAGTAGACGGCACCACTCCGCCCACGGCCCTCCGTGTTGCGCTGCGGCCCATCTGGGGCCGTGGCGCATACCACGCAAGAGCACTCGCCAGATCTCCTGGTACACGCTGAGCCCCGGGGGGCCGGAGGTGGGGCGGTGCCGCCTTTTTCCTGGTCCGATCCCCTCCCTCCTCCTCCTCCTCCTCCTCCTCCTCCTCCTCCTGTTCCTCCTGCTCCTCCTCCTCCTGCTCCTCCGCCTCCTCCTCCTCCTCCTCCTTCTCCTCCTCCTCCTCCTTCTCCTCCTCCTGCTCCTGCTCCTGCTCCTGCTCCTGCTCCTGCTCCTCCTCCTCCTCCTCCTCCTCCTCCTCCTCACGCTGTTCCAGAGCGTGCCGGAACGCTCTCGGAATGGGCGGTATTGGGCCGCGATAAACGGGGGTGGAAGGCTAAAGGGGGGGGCTGCGAGGGCTGCAGGAAAGGGTCCCTTGAGGGTCCAGAAGGGGGCCTTTGGCACCCCCCCATACATCGCCCTCCCAATAATTCGCGCCCAACGGGATCGCTCTGAGAGGGCCGCGGCGCCCGATGCATCCTCGAGAGCCGCGGGATCTCCGAGATTCTCGATTCATCCTCATCCTATTTTCATCCGTTCCAGAGCGTGCCGAACGCTCTTGGAGAGGTCGGGAGCGCTCCGAGAAGGCCGCGGCGCCCGAGGCATCCTCCAGAGCCGCCAGAACTCAGAGATTCTCGATGTGTCCTCATCCGATCTGTATCCTCGTCCTGGCTTCGTCTTGAGCTGGCTTGGCATCGCTCGGACGTGTGCATTCTTCCATCGGCGAGGACCATCTTGGATCATCTTGGATCATCGAGCAACAGAAATTCGCGAACTCGATCAATGCGCGGGGAATGGACGCCCGAGCGATGGCGGGCTGGAGGTTCCTCGGGGGCTCTGTTGGGGCATCTGGGGCCACCTTGGGGGGCAACGTGGGCGCCCCTGCCATTCCCCCTCCACGCCCCCCTTTCCCCTCGCCGTCACGCCTTCCTTCCCTCCTCCTTCTCCTCCTCCTCCTATTTCTCCTCACTCCTCCTCTGTCTCCTACTCATGCTGCTTCTCCTTCTCCTCCTCCTCCTCCTCCTCCTCCTCCCGCTGCTCCTTCTCCTCCTCCTCCTCCTCCTCCTCCTTCTCCTCATCCTCCCTCTATTTCTCCTCCTCCTCCTCCTCCTCCTCCTCATCCTTCTCGTCATCGTCGTCTTCCTCCTCCTCCTCCTCCTTCTCCCGCTGCTGCTCCTCCTCCTCCTCCTCCTCCGCCTCCAGCTCCAGCTCCTCCTCCTTCTCCTCCTTCTCATCCTCCTCCTCCTCCTTCTCCTCCTTCTCCTCCTCTTCCCCTTCCCCTCCTCCCGCTGCTGCTGCTGGTCCTCCTCCTCCTTCTCCTCCTTCTCCTGCTTCTTCTCCTTCTCCTCCTCCTCCTCCTCCTCACCCTGCTGCTGCTGCTCCTCCTCCTCCTCGCCCCCTTTCTTCTCCTTACTCCTCATCCTGCTGCTGTTCCCCTTCTTGTTTGTCGGTTGTTCTGTCTCGTGGTTCCTATGCATGTGCGGTCGGGCCGAGGTATAAAACCGAGGTCGGTTTGGGGAGGGTGCACTAATGTCCTTCGAGTTTGTTGGATGTTCTTGTGCATCCTGGGGGAGGGTGCCCTCGAGTGTCCTTCAGTTTGGCTGGCGGAGGGTCTCGTGCTCTTGAAGGATCTGTTCTTCTGTTCTAGGTCCGGCTGTATGTTGTGTTCCACACGTATCAGCTCGCTGAGGTTATGTCCTCGCCCACACGGTCTGGCAGGCCCAGGCGGTTGTCCGCAGAGGTGGTCGTTCGTTCGTCCCCCCCCCGTCTGCCAGGAGGTGCAGAGCACGGCGCAGCCGCGCGGCGAGGAGGGGCACGCAGAGGGCGAGGTGGTTCCTGCGCCCCCTTTCGCCCTCCATCATCATTATCATCATCATCATCATTATCATCATCATCATCATCATCATCATCATCATCATCATCATCATCATCATCATCATAATCATCATCATCGTCATCGTCATCGTCATCGTCATCGTCATCGTCATCAGCATCAGCATCAGCATCAGTATCAGCATCAGCAGCATCATCAGGTTCATCATCATCATCATCACTGTCACCACCACCATCTCCATCACCATCACCATCATTATCAGCATCAGCATCATCATCATCACTACCATCACCAGCACTACCACTACCATTACCGCCATCACTATCATCGTCATCGTCGTCGTCGTCGTCAGCGTCATCATCATCATCAGCATTACCATCATCATCATGAACGTCATCATCAACATCATCATCATCGTCGTCATCATCACCATCATTGCCACCGCCATCATCAGCATCGAACACATTTTTATCATCAGGATGATGATGATCATCATCATTACCAACAGCAACATCATCACCATTATCGTTATCGTCACCATCATCATCACCATCATAAGCACCAACATCAACACCAACATCAACACCACTATCCTCACCGCCTGCATCATCATTCGCTTCATCATCACCGCCATCATCGTCATGATCATCAACATCACCACCACCATCGTCATGGTTATTACCGTTATCATTCTCACCATCGCTGGCAGTATCAGTATCAGTGCCATTATCATTAGCAGTACCCTTTCCATTACCTTTGTACTTTGTCGCTATTGTCATCGTTATCGTTATCACTAGCACTGTCATCACCATCACCATCATCACCACCACCATCATCATCACCATCACCGTCAGCCCCCCCATCATCATCATCACCATCATCATCGTCGTCTTCGTCGTCGTCGTCGTCCTCAATCATCGTCATTGTCATCATCATCAGCATCATCAGCATCTGTTGTGGCCGTTGTTGTCGTCAATCATCGTCATTATCATCATCGTCATCATCATCATCATCCACGTCATCATCACCATCATCATCCTCATGATCATCATCACCATCGTAACCATCATCATCACTGCCAGCATCAGCACCATTATCAACATCATCACCATCATCATCAGCACTCTCAGTCCCCCCTTCGCCTGCTCGCGGTGCCTTGCTTGGGAGATCGGCCCCAGCAGGCGCAGATGCTTGTGTGCTGCGGTCGCTCTCCGGGAGGCGACCTTGGAGAGTCCTCGTGTGTCACGCACGTCGAGGCCCACCAGTGTGTGCGGACACGCACACACACACAGTCACACACACACACACACACGCACACGCACACGAACACGTACACGCGCACGCACACGCACACGCACACGCACACACACACGCGCACGCACACGCACACGCATGCGCACATGCGCACGCACACGCACACGCACACGCACAGGCACGCGCACACGCACACACGCAGCCGCATACGCACACACTCACGCACACGCACACGCACACGCACACGCACGCGCACACGCACACGCACACGCGCGCGCACACGTACACGCGCACGCACACGCACACGCACACGCACACGCATAGGCGCACGCACACGCACACGTACACGCACACGCAAACGCACACACACACACACACGCATACGCATCCGCACACGCACGCGCACACGAACACGCACACGCACCGCATACGCACGCACACACAACGCCACGCGCACACACATGCGCACGCACACGCACACGCACACACACACACACGCACACGCACACGCACTCGCATACGCACACGCAAATGTACACGCACACGCACACGCACACGCATGCTCACACGTACAACAGCACGCATACGCACACGCACACGCGCACGCAGACGCACACGCACACGCACGTGCACGCACACACGTACATGCACACGCGCACGCGCACGCACACGCACATGCACGCGCACACGCACACGCACACGTATACGCACACGCACACGTACACGCACACGCACACACGCACACGCACACGAAACCGTACACGCACACACACGCACGCACGCACGCGCACACGCCCACGCACACGCACACGCGCACGCACACGCGCACGTGCACGCGCACGCACACGCACACGCACACGCACACGGACACGTACACGCACGCACACACGCTCACGCACGCGCACGCGCACACGCACACGCGCACGCACACGCACACGCACGCGCACAAGCACGCGCACGCGAAAACGCCCACGCACACGCACACGCAAACGCCCACGCCCACGCACACGCACACGCACACGCACGCGCACCAGCACACGCACACGCATACGCGCACGCCCACGCACACGCAGACGCACACGCGCACGCACATGCACGCGCACAGGCGCACGCACACGCACACGCATACGCACACGCACACTTACACGCACACGCACACGAACACGCACACGCACACGCACACGCACACGCACACGCGCAGAGACGCACATACGCGCACACACACACACACACGCACACGCTCACACACGCACGCACGCACACATGCGCACGCAGACACGCACACACGCACATCCGCTCGTCCGCCCGCTCGCCCGCCCGCAAGCACGCCCGCACGCGCGTGCGTGCTGCTCACTCGCACGCACGCGCCCACGCACCCACACACGCACACGCATACGCACACTCACACGCACGCACACACGCACACACACGCACACCCACAGACCCACACACGCACACACATGCACACGCACAAACACACGCACACGCACACGCACAAACACACTCACACGCACACGCACACGCACACGCACACGCACACGCACACTCGCACGCACACGCACACGCACACGCACGCGCACCAGCGCACGCCCACCCACACGCACACGCACACGCACACGCACACGTACACGCACACGCACGCGCACATGCACACGCACAGGCCCACGCGGACGCGTGCGCGAGCGCGTGTGCGCGTGTGCGTTCGCGTGCGCGCACACGCACGCGCCCACGCCCACGCCCACGCCCACGCATACGCTCACGCCCGTGCCCTCGCCCACGCAAACGCCCACGACCACACACACGACCACGCCCACGCCCACGCCCACGCACACGCACACGCCCACTCGCCCACGCTCACGCCCACGACCACGCCCACGCCCACGCCCACGCCCACGCCCACACGCCCGCACGCCCACGCCCACACGCCCACGCGCATGCGCATGCGCACGCGCACGCGCACGCACACACGCACACACAAACACACAAACACACGCTCACACGCCCACTCCCACACGCCCACGCGCATGCGCATGCGCCCGCGCACGCGCACGCGCACACGCACACGCATACGCACACGCACGGTCACACGCACACTTACACGCACACACACGCACACGCACACGCACACGCGCACGCGCGCGCACACGCACACACACGCACACACTTTTGGGGTCGCGGCTCTACGCGCAGCGACACGCATAGAACACACGCCACAAACATGCACACACATACGCCCATCCGCATACACATACGCATGCACACACGCACGCACACACGCACACTCACATAGACTCACGCACGCCACATACCACACACCACACACACAACACACAATACGCACCACACAACACAATACACAGCACATTTCACACACAACACACCACACACAGCACACACATCACATATGACACACAACGCACACACCACACACGAACCACCACACACAACACGCACGCACGCACGCACGCTGGCACGCACGCGCGCACGCACGAACGTACACACACACACGCACGCACATACACGCACACACGCACACACAAACACACAAACACACGCACACACGCACACACGCACACACGCGCACGCGCATACGCACACACGGATTCACGCACACACGCACGCACGCACACACACACACGCACGCACGCACGCACGCACACACGCACACACGCACACTCGCACACGCACACGCACACGCAAACACACACTCACGCACACGCGCACCCACGTCCACCAACACACACGCACGAACGCACGCACGTACGCACGCACGCACGCACACACATACGCATACACACAATCACACACACACACGCATGATCACAGACAATCGCACACGCACACACACACGCAATCACACACAATCACACAATCACACAATCACACAATCACACAATCACACAATCACACAATCACACAATCACACAATCACACAATCACACAATCACACAATCACACAATCACACAATCACACAATCACACAATCACACAATCACACAATCACACAATCACACAATCACACAATCACACAATCACACAATCACACAATCACACAATCACACAATCACACAATCACACAATCACACAATCACACAATCACACAATCACACAATCACACAATCACACAATCACACAATCACACAATCACACAATCACACAATCACACAATCACACAATCACACAATCACACAATCACACAATCACACAATCACACAATCACACAATCACACACACACACACGCACGCACACACACGCACGCACACACACAATCACACACACAAACACACGCACAATCACACACACAGACACACACGCACACGCACACACGCACGCACACGCACACGCGCACGCGCACGCGCACGCGCACGCGCACGCGCACGCGCACGCGCACGCGCACGCGCACGCGCATACGCATACGCATACGCGCTATACGCATACGCGCACGCACACGCACACCCACACACACTCACGCACGCACACTCACGCGCAGACGCACACGCACACGCACATACCCGGCACACCCACTCCTACACACCCACACACCCACACACCCACACACCAACACACCCACACACCCACACACACACATCCACACATCCACACACCCACACACCCACACACCCACAGACCCACAGACTCACAGACCCACGCACCCACACACCCATACACCCACACACCCGCACACCCACACACCCACACACCCACACACCCACGCACCCACACACCCACACACCCACACACCCACACACCTACACCTACACACACACGCACACGCACACGCACACGCAGACGCACGCGCAGACGCACACGCACACGCACACGCACACGCACACGCACACGCACACGCGCACGCACACGCACACGCACACGCACGCTCACAAGTACGCTCACGCACACGCTCACGCGCACGCGCACGCGCAGTCTCACGCGCACGCACATGCACACGCACACATGCACGCTCACACACGCACACACGCACACACACACACACGCATCCACACACACACGCACACACGCACACACGAACACACGCACACACGCACACACGCACACACGCACACACGCACACACGCACACACGCACACACGCAGACGCACACACACACAAGCTCACACACTGGCCCTGGGCGAAGGAATTAGACTTCCAACACACAAGCACACTGGCCCTGGGCAATGGGTCTGGACTTCGGGGGCCGCGTGTGGTACAAAGCTGAATTATCGGATGTCTGGGTTCGTGCCATGTCAACGCGGCGGCGACATCAGCGCGGGCATTGCGGGAAGGCCCCGTGGTCCAATATCCGTTTCTCTCGGGGACCGTTTTCTTTCATGTCATGCGTTCCCTGCCTCCTCGCCTTCCCCCGCCCAAACATGCTTATGTTGTCTTGCGCCAGCCCTGCAAGGGCGACGCGCACGCTTGGACATCTGAAAAAGTGTAAGCTCCGTGGCGGGAGCTTCCTGGCCATACCCTTCGGAAAGCCATATGCCACGAGGCCTGGTAATCACCACATGTTCGGGCCGGGCGTGCGCTTCCATCGGCGGCGCACGGCACCAGGATGTCTTTGTGCGTCCCCTCTCCTTTGCACGGCTTTCCCTGCGCGAGCGGCCTGGCACGCGCCCGCCGCCCTGGCAGCGCGACGTCGGCAGGGAGCGGCCGTCGCAGTTTGGTTCCCCCCTCGGCCTGGGTCGGGGGCTGCGGCCCGCTGGCCGGAGGGGACCGTGCCGCTTTTTGTCGGCAGTGAGTTCCATAGAGCGATCGGTCGTGAGATCGGTAGTGAGATCGAGAAAGAGATCGAACTCGCTCTGTCGATCGATCGGACCCAGAACCGGGAATGCGGGAACCCCGCGATCGAGAGCGCGGAACCGGAAACCCGAGAACCAAGAACCCAGAACCCTGGGACTGGACACCTAGGAACTCGGCGGCTTACCGAAATCGGACGCCCATTTTCGCCAAATCTTTCAAGATCTGCTAGAACCCCTTCAGTGCGAGCACTGCTTAGGGAATCGCGTCTCTGTTTGCCCAGTCGTATTTTTGGCCCTTCGCACGTACCCAATTCACTGTCTAGGCACTTGCAGTAAAGTGTCCGGTCGGCCTTTCGCGAGTGCCAGAGCTGAGTCAGCTTGAGTATGGCGCGGGATAGCCCCCACGAGGGGCAGCGGACTTCTCGAGTCTGCTGCTGCTGCCGCCGTCTTCTGCGGGAAAGAGAAGAAGCGTCCGAGCATTTTCTTTGGGTGGAGAGCAGAGGTGAAATCTGAAATGCCGTTTCGATGGATTTTCGAGGCTTGAATCTGCAAAGGTGAATCACAAGACGGATTGATTTTCGAGGTGCGCAAGCCCATACGGATTTCACCCCGAGCCCTCCACCCTAAGAAAATGCTCAGAACGTGTCTGCTTGCCCCAGGGCCCGACGGGGTTCCTGCCTTCCCCCCTCCCGCTGGCCCGCTGCTGCCCCTTCTCCAGGTGGACCCGACCCCCGACTGCTTCGAGCTGCCCTCGCAGTTCGTCCGGGCCGCGCTCGCGGCCATGTCGACGCAGTGGCAGGCCTCCCGGGGGGGCTGAGATCGGGGACCACACGTGAACCCAACCCCCGCCCCCCACGATTTCTAAGAGGGGGGGTTGGGGTTCACTTCGTTCGGGAGCTCCCGAGCGAAATGAACCCCGACCCCCCTCAGGAATCGTGGGGGGTGGGGGCTAGGGCTCACATGTGGTCATCTGTGAGAGGAGGACAAGGTGCACTCGGCCCTGCTTGGTGGGTCGACCGTGCCAGATGGAGGGTGCCCACTGTGTCCAGTCGATCCCGGTCTCTGCAGGCCGCGTGCCCTCTCTGGTGCTCTACAGTCGGGGCGCTGAAGAAGGAACCCTTTTCGTTGGGGAGGGGCTCCGCGTTCCTTAAGTGTTTCGCAGCTTGCCTCAGGTTTTCCTTATGTTTTCGATCGGACATCGAAGTTGAACTTCTGGAAAAAAGGGGCCTCGTTCCTTATTTTGGGTTCCTTAGGTCAAGGCCCCGACTGTAGGGCCACGCGTTGCCGTCGGAGGCGCCTGGTGTCCTCGCGGGTGTCCTGTCCGATCGCGTCCGACTGTGCCCACACCGATGCGCCTCCCTCGGCCTCGCCGTCTCTCCGGGCCTCCCGGCGGGCCCTCGCCGCCGCTGGTGGCTTCGCCCCGGGGGGCCAGAGGGGCGAAGAGCCAAACGCGGCCTAGGCGTAAGTCGGGCCTGTCCCTCTACAGGAGGAACATTCAAAAACACAAAAAAATAGTCAGGGGACTATTTTTTGTCAATTTTTTTGGGGGGGATGTTTCTTGAGCATTTTTTAGTTTTCGCCCAAGATCCCCCCGTAGGGGGACGCGCCCGACTTAAGCATAGGCATGCACTCTCGACGGTCCGCGCGGACCGTCGAGAGTTTCCGTTTGTGCCGTCTCTTGTTCCCCCAGAGAAGCGGCGCCAGCGGCGCCCCATCGTCGAAAATCCCCCTGTGGGGGACAGGCCCGAGGTAATCCTGGTCCTCGTTCTCGGCCTCATTGTCCTGGTCCTCTTTTCGGCTCTCGCCGTCGGCGGACGTGCTGGGACGAGGGCAAACTGAACGGATTGGCGAGACAAGTGGCGCGTCAGGTGCGCTGCCAGCGCGCCTAGGTTGTCCCTCTTCCCTCTTTCCCTTCCTCTTACTCGTTCCTCTACGACTAGTCGCAATGATCAAAAGTGCAGCTGCATGGACGGGGAGACGGTGAAGAGGAAGAGGGGTAATCAGAAACATGTAGATAAACGTAGAAAAATGCCAGGGAGACGGATGACAACGAGGGGGACAGCAATGCGGCGACGAAAAGCGAGAAGGGTGTGTGTATATATATATATCGATATATATATATATATGTATGTGTATTGCGAAGGATGCGCGAGCCGTCGCGTTTTGATAACCACGATCCAAAACAACAGCGAGACCGATTGGGTGTACATTGGCACTGCTTGTTCGACACTACTCTAGCCGCTAGCCCTGGCCGAGGGTCTCGAGTCGAGCCGAGAGCACAAACATTGCGTCGTCTTCGTCGTCGTTGTCCTCCTCCTCCTCCTCCTCCTCGCCGCCGTTTTTATTAATTGTTTCGTCAACCATAGACCAGATCCTGGCTGTTTTTGGCGACTGGTCAGGACTCATTCCCCCAATCTGCTTGCACGACTGGTAAAAGCAGATCTACTAATCACCGGCCCAGAGCCAACCCCCCTCCCACTCCCCCACCCTTCGGCAGAATGTCGAAACCCAGAATACAAAAGCTCCCGCCTCTTCGGTGACTCGGTGATGCGGACGGGCTCCTTGCCCCCGAGCCCAGCCCCAGTCGTGCGGCCCTCCTGCAGCAGTCTTGGCACCGCTCCGACGTGTGCATTTTTTCTAGGCAAGGACCATCGAGAAGCATCCTGTATCATCTTGCGAAAAATCAGCGGACGAAGCCGAAACATGCACGCGGAATGGACGTCCAATCGATGGCAAGTAGTCGGACGGGGCTAGGACGAGAATGAATCCGTTCCAGAACGCTCTCAGGGCGTTCCAGAAACGCTCGGAGAAGGCCGCGGCGCCCGCGGCATCCCCCAGAGCCGCTGGATCTCAGAGATTCCCGATGTATCACCGCCCGATTGTGTCTTTGTCCTAGCTTCACCTTACTTAAGATGCAAGTGAAAGTGTTTTTTTTGTTAGTCCCCCCGTATTCTTGGTTTTCTCGCCTTGTTAGGCCATGCTGATGGCGAGCGATGGTTTTCTTTTTTTCTCGCCTTGTTAGGCCATGCTGATGGCGAGCGAGGCCTTTCTTGGTTTTCTTGATTTTCTCGCCTTGTTAGGCCATGGTTTTTTCTTTTTGGTTTGTAAGTCCCCCCGTCTCCTTGCTGATGGCCATGCTCGCCTTGTCAGGTCGACGTTTCTTCGCGTTTTGGGCGCCGGTTTTGATACGTGTTCAGGTCCGGAATCGGCCCGTGGCCCGTTCGCCGCCGCCCGCTGCCTCTCCGTGTCCAATCTGCGTGTTTCGTGCGTCGTGTCGTGCATCACGGTGCCGCCTTCCTGACGTCCGCATTCCAGGGTGTCGTTTTTAGATCGACTGCACGTAAGAGTGACCTTTCGCCGGAGTGACCTTTGGTGCGGGCCCAATGGGGTCCCCCGATCGCCGAACGCGATGCGGTAGTAGCGTCTTGCGCGCTTGTGTTTGGCATCCCCGCGGCCCCCGAAGCGCCGCGCACCAAAGGTCACTCTTACCCAGGGTCACTCTTACGTGTAGCCGATTAGAACGCTTTCCCTCGCCCTCATTCTTCCAGACCTTCCGTGCTGACCTTCCACACTCTTGCGCTTCGTGAAAACGGCGGCTTTTCTTGCGTTTCCTGAGGCTTGTAGTAGTTTCAATGCATCACCTTCCGCGCCGTCCGCAGAGGTCGGAAGGTATGGAAGATGGAGGTGGAGGGTTGGCCGAGTCAAGACCGTTTCTAGAACATGTTCAGAAGAGTGAAACACGTTCCATGCTTTTTTTGGGGTGTCCCTGTGAGAACGCTCTTCTGGAAGAGTGGGCGACGGACGCAAAATGCCCCCCCTCCCCCCCCGACGTGCTGGAAAGAACAACACTCGGCCTCCTGCCCTGCGCCTCTCGCAGCCCTCTTGGCCCAAAGGCCAGCCGTTCGCCAGGCGCAGCTCTGCTTTGGTTCCAGCCCCCTTCGCGGCGCGCTCTGCGGAGAGACCGGCTGCACGCGAGAGCGACCTCTTCGCCGGCGTGCCCTTGTCGGACGGGGCTAGGATCAAGTCGGGCCTGTCCCTCTACAGGAGGAACAGTCAACAAAAAGTCAAAAAAGAGCCAGTGGACGATTTTAGTGTAATTTTTTTTTGGGGGGGGAATTTTGAAGGCCTTGCGGTCGGTGCCGCCGACACTGAATGGCGACGACGACGATGACGAGCGCTCTCGGGGGCCTCTTGTGGGTAGTTTGGGGGCCTCTCGTGGAGCTCTTGGGGGCCGCTTGGAAGCCTCGTGGGGGCCTCTTGGGGCTTCCTGGGGGTCTCTTAGGGGTTGCTCGGGGCTTCTTGGGGGGCTTCTTAGGGACCTCTGGGGGCCTCCTGAGAGCTTCTCAGGCCGAGGGCTCGAAAAGTCCGTTCGGGTCCCCCGTCTGGGCTCCTCCTTGGAGCCTTCTTGGGGGCCTCTTCGGCTGTCTTGCAGACCTCTTGGTCGGTCTTGGGGACCTCTTGGGTCGTTTTGGGGCTCTCTTGGAGGCCTCTTGGGCCATCTTGGGGCGGTCTTGGGGGCTTCTTGGCCTGTCTTGGAGCGTCGGGAAGCTGACAAGGCGAGAATGCCGAAATCTTCCAAACATTTACGGGAAATCTATGATTTTTGCCCCTTGGGATCCTCTTGGAAGCCCTCTTGGAGGCCTCTTGGGGCGTTTTGGAAACCTTTTGAGCCGTCTGGAGGCTACTTTGGCGACTTGGACCGATACTTCGGCGATTCGGGGCCCTCGAGGACCGTCTTAGGGGCATCCTTGGGCAGTTTTGCCGCGTCCTGCGGCTTTTCTTGGCCGCCCAACCCGCCCGAGTGGGAGTAGTATCTGCCCCAGGACCCCCCTGGGACCACTCCCCCGGGACCCCTCCCCCGGGACCCCCCCCGGGACACCCCCCGGGACATCACCCCCGGAACCGCCCCCCCCCCCCCCCCCAGCGGGGAAGGGATCAAAGGGAAGGGGCTTCCCTTCGACTCAACTACAACGTTGCTCAATTTCGCTGTGGCTGGCGAGCTCGAGGAGGAGCACCCTGCGAGAGTGGGTGGAACGGCGACGGACCTAGGGAAAAGGGGGAAGCGAGCGGCGATGGCGACGACGACGACGACGACGACGACAACAACGACCACGACGACGACGACGACGACGACGACGACGACGACGACGACGACGACGACGACGACGACGACGACGACGACGACGACGACGAGTCAAACGGAACAGCCTCTTCCACACGCCGACAGGGTCGGCGGATTTTTTTTGGTATTTTTAATTATTCGTCCAAAATCCGCCTGTAGGGGGACACGCCCGACCTAAGGCTAGGACGAGGGTAAATCCGTGACAGAGCGTTCCGGAACGCTCCCAGAGTGTTCCCGAACGCTTTGAAAAGGCCGCGGCGCCCAAGACATCCTCCAGAGCCGTCGGATCTCAGAGGTTCCCGACTTACCCCCACCCTATCTTATCCTCGTCCTGGCTTCGTCTCGACCTGCTTGTGTGTTGGCATCGCCCTACCTCGGTGTCGATCTCGAGGATTCCCACCCAGTTTCTGAAGGCACGCCGCTGAGATTGTCGTGGCCTTGGGGTTGCCGATCTCAGGGGGTAGCGATCAGTTCGAGGCTGGTCAGCTCAGTAGACTACTGACCCAGGTCAATCCAGACCCGGGTCAGTTAGGCTTTGCAGGATCCTGCAAGACCCTGCAGGACCCTGCAGGATCCTGCGCCCAAGCACAGGTCAGTGCGCCCATGGCTCTGCAGGATCCTGCAAGATCCGGCGCTCTGGCTGACCCCTGTTTGCATGTACCCCCATCTCAAGGTTCCCGA